TGCTGATCTGTTTCATGTTGCTGCTTATCTGTTTCATGTTGTTGCTGATCTGGTTCATGTTGCTGCAGATCTGTTTTATGTTGCTGCTGATCTGTTTTATGTTGCTGCTGATCTGTTTCATATTGATGTGTTCATGCGTACTCATCTGCTCACACAGATTCATGTTCGTGCTGCTGTTCAACATAATGTTTTTATGCTATTAGTGCTTAGTGTACATATAGTTAACATTTTTCTTAGTTCATATCTTAGACCTTATTACTGTTTTTCTTATACATTTTATTGTTGGATGTAACTGGGACTCTGTGTACATAATCTTGTTCCACCACAAGTACCACATGTGGCGTGTATTACAAATAAATCTCTCTGACTCTGATGTTTGTTTTTATATATAAGCTTATCAGCTCTCACTCAGAGGCAGTCCTCTGCAAATCTCTCTTTTCAAGGTCTGCCTGGGTCTGAAGGCAGCTGAACATGCATGTTGCTGGACTGTGGGAAGAAACCAGAGAACCTGGAGAAAACTCTCACAAACACAAAAACAAAAAACTCCCAGTTCCAAACCGGGACTGAACCCAGGACCTTCTTGCTGTAAGGCAGCAGTGCTAACCACTGATCCACCAGGCTGTCATATACCATAAGAGGCTCAGTGTCTTTCTAGAATATGTGAAATAATGTCAGTTTACCACAGTTTTATCCTGGTTCAGCTGGCAGAGTACATGACTAGTAGATTTATAACTAACTGGATGAACTAGCTCGCGGCTCAGTCTCACCCTGCAATATTATTGGTGGAAACACTTTTGGCCAGGGAGAGGCCGGATCGGACCCGCCTGGACCCAAGCAGAGACTGACGGAGAGAGTCCGAAGGATAGATGGCCGAGCTTGGACGTTCCTTCATCATCGGAGCTGAGGAGGAGAAAAAACACAAAGGATGAAGGAGTAGATAGACAGACAGGCAGACAGACAGTTGAACAGTGAGACTGGTAGAATATCTTACTCTTGGTTCGCAAGGCAACATTCTGCAAAGCTGAACTGTTTCTCACCAACGCCAGTTTCTGTTGCTGTTAAATGGACACAGATTGTCAGACGGACAGGTAAGTGGTACACAGACAAGAGGACACAGACAGGCAGGTGTTACCCTCTGCTTCATCTTGGCACAGCTGGCCAGACTGTCTCTGCAGCGGTTGTGGATGGTGACATTACATCCTGTAAGACAGGCAGACAGGTATCTTTTTAGTAAGTGCACTATCTGACCTCTTTTTGTCTGCAGTAGAAGAGCAGTGATATCACATCATGCTGGGAGACGACTGTGGATCACTGAAGCTAGGTGAGGTGAGATCATCTGGTTGATAATTTTACAACTTCTTTGCAAACTTCGCTCGATAAAGCTGCTCTGCTGAAAAAGAAAGTAATCAATGAGAGGAGATTAGCTCATTGGTTCAATTCTGAGTTACATACTTAAAAAAAAAAACATCTAGAAAAATTGAAAGAAAATAGTGCTTCACTAATGTTGAAGAATTTTATTTATCTTGGAGAGATAGCCCGATAACGTATAAAAAAGTGTTCTGTAAAGCTAGAACTTCATATTATTCATCTTTAATTGATGAGAATAAAAATACACCCAGGTTCCTTTTCAGCACCATAGCTAGTCTAATGAAAAATCCTGTCTCTGTTGAGTCATGTATCTCTACAACTATAAGCAGTGATGACTTCATGAGATTATTTATAAATAAAATTATTTCAATTGGGGAAAAATAAAATTCAAACCAACATTCCTACTATCGCCTCTAGTTCTGTGTCAGATGAGACAACTTTAAAAATGTCACTAGAACCTGATTTATATTTGGACAGTTTTTGTCCTGTTGAGCTCTGAATTGTCAAACATAATAACTTCATTCAAACCATCCACATGTCTGCTAGATCCCATCCCAACCAGACTGTTTAAATACATATTTCCCTTCATGGTTACTATTAAATGTTCTATTAGAGAAGCCTTATACACTTATGCATGCTCACAACCACACATAAATAGATGCAGGGATGCTTACGTAGGCTTTATATGTAGATATATAGATATGTATGTGAATGTATATTCATGTGTATGTACAGGTCCTTCTCAAAAAATTAGCATATTGTGATAAAGGTCATTATTTTCCATAATGTAATGATAAAAATGAAACTTTCATATATTTCAGATTCATTGCACACCAACTGAAATATTTCAGGTCTTTAATTGTTTTAATACTGA